CATGGGGCATGGGGCAAACACACACAGATGGACCGACACGGCTCTGCCCTCTGCAGGTTCACTTTCCAGGGCCCAGGGAGGCCTGAAGAGAAGCGGACTGGGGAGCAAGGGTGCATGTTCTCGACAGCTGAGTGCGGGGTGCTGCAGCTGGCCGCGGGGCCGCCGAGCTGCGTCCGGGATAAGAGCTCGCTCATCAAGCAGGCCTCCGGGCTGAGCTGTGCCCTCTGAAATCCATACACTCAGTGCACCACGGACCGTGATCCTACTGGAGATGGGGTCTTTAAGGAGGATCTACAACCCATACGGCTGGGGCCTTGTAGGAAGAGGGATTCGAGACACAGGCACATCCAGAGGGAAGACGATAAAGCCAGGAGAGGCCTCGGAAGAAACCAACCTCGCCACCTTATGTCGGGTTTCTAGTCTCCAGAATTGCGAGAAGATAAATTTCTGTTGTTTCAGCCCAGCCTGTGGTGCTTTGTTAGAGCAGCCCCTGGAAGCTAATGCGGTGGGTCTGAATGGATTCAGTGAGCGTTAGCAAGCCCAGAGAACCGAGCTGCTCTGCTCCTCTCCCACCGAGAACCCCCCTCCCCCTCTCATGTACACACGGGCCCCAGACATCAGTGCCCAGTGCCCCCTGCTTTCACCCCCTACCTCCCCGGGACTTGGGGACATTTGGTTAGGTCTCTCAGCCTGAAAGTAGCTCACGAGCAGTCCTGCTGGCCCCTTAGGGAACATCTTTGGGCAGAGACTTGCAGGAAGACACTCTGTTGAGGTCCATGAAGAGGGGGTTTCTGGAAGGGTTTTGGTCACATGGATTGAGATGGAAAATGCAGTTTCTGCTGGGCTTTGTTTCTTTGGCAGTCAGAGGAGAGAAATCTGTATTCTCTGGAAAGGGCCCGGCAAACTCCCAGGGCCCTGTGCCCAAACCCCCTCTTCCCTCCGGTGCTCTGGAGGCCTGTCTGGGCACACTGGGCTGTCGAGGTGAGAGAGCTGTTTGTGTCAGGTGCTTGCCTGAGCCACTGTGACTCAGGTCATCCCTCTGAGAGCTCAGGGCTCCAGAAGCTGCCAGGGATGTCCTCACTTCTCCTCTCAGAGATCACGTCCATGGGGACAGCTCATTTCCAGACCCTCCTTCCTTGTACTGGGCTTACTTAGTCATGAGATACACTGGGATCTGCTCCCCTCTCCCAGAATCACCCAACCTTGTCCCCCATTCAGGCCCCCGTGCCCCTTAGCTGCTTTGGTCAGTAATACAGGCTAATAGTCAGGGCAATGAGACCCACATATCAATGTTGTGACTATTGACCCTTGTGGAAGAATTTCCAAGTCAGATGCTGGGGTAGAAACCTTGGTAGAAAATCTTATTTCTCTCATCTGCAGAGTAAGGGGGAGAAAAGAAACAAAACAAAGTCACCCACATACACTCCCCTTTAAAATCTAGGCCTGCTTGGCATAGGTGGGGATGTGTCACCCTGCCGTAGTGTTTGGAGGCCATCTCCTCACTTGACTTGCTCCTAACTTAGGAAAGGGGAGCTTTCTTAGCACACACCCCATGCCAGTGCACCCTGGGGCCCACGAGGAGAGGGGTCCAAATTCCAGCCCCACAGCTTTGCTCCCAACTGCCTTCTGCATTGAAGGAGACTGAAGGGCAGCTGCTTTTGGGCAGCTCAGGGGACAAGCTCCAAAGAGACTGTTTTGTCAAAGCACTGGCTCCATGGTAGCTGCTGGGTGCAGGGTCTCAGATCCAGGGGGAGCCTGTGTGTCACTGGACCGTGTTCAGAATTCAGACTGTAGCTTTGGGTGTGAATATTCAGTCCAGGTCAAGCACTTTCAATGAAAGGTTTTGGACTTTGCTCTTTCCTTCATGCTTCTTCATAAATACGGTTGTGTTCTAACAGAAGCTGGACAACATGCAGATGTCAAGGTCTGTGACCTCTAATATAGTTGTGCAAAGGATCAAGTTGAAATGGGCTTTTCCTGACAGATCCAAGAGCAGATTAGTAGCCCGTGCTCATGGGTGTTATGGGGCTGAGTGACCTTGAGACCCCTTCTGTTCTTCTGGCAGCAGGAAAGGCTCCCGGGAAGGGAGATGACCAGGAGCTGGTCCAGGTCCCCGCATGTCTCAGGAGTCCCCCGAGGCCCCTCAGTGCAGACAGCCTGGGCAGCCCAGGCTAGGAGGTCCCAGAGAAGGGAGCCCCATCTCCTGTAGATCTGCCGGTATTTGCAGCCAGAGTTCACTGGAACCCACTCCCAGGGAATTTCCTTCTTATTTCCTTCTTCACTTACAGCGAAGGCAAATAACCAACCAGGAATGTAGTCTAAATAGCTGTTTAGGGAGTTTCCTCGTTGACACCACACATCAGCTCTCCACACTCCCTGATGTCCCAGGAATCAGAAAATCCTGACTAATTTTGTAAAAATCCAATTATGCTTACTAGATGAGTCTTACAAAGTTGGGAAAATGAGAAATATGTCCAGCAAAGATTTCCAATAACAGCAGTTGGAACCACACTGGACAATCTGTGGTCAGTAGAGTGTCTTCCCCACCCCCAGAGGCACCTATATTGACCAACTACGGTCGCTGTCCCAACCACAGCTGTCTGTCCCACCCAAGGCAGCTGCTCACTGATAGAAAAGATAGGAGCTAGGCATGCAGGTCCAGTTTGGTCAGTGCTGGGAATTTCCTTCTCATTTCCTTCAGAGTGGATCCACGCTGGCTGGAAGAGAGAGAGGGAGAGAGACTGCAGAGGTGTGGGGAAGTCATCTTGAGAGACTGGCCAATCCAGGTGGAAGCCCCACATGCCAGCTTGTAGGAGCAACAGGGTGGGTTTCACCTTGGTAGGGCAGTTTTCCTGGGCTACCTTTATACTGATGCATTGGGCTCCTGACAACTTGGGATGGCATCCCAGCCCTGCACTACTAACTATAAGGCTTTGTGCAAGTCACAAACGTCTCTAAGCCTCAACATCCTCCTCTCAAAAGGACAGTGATGAGAACCTATTCCACAGGCTGCTGAGCATCTCATGATAACGCACACAGAGCACCTGGCACCATGCCTGGGACCCAGGCAGGGCAAGCCCTCAATAAATGCTCACTATCATTATTAGGGCTGCCTTGGTATTAAACCCAAACCCAAGCACTGACTGCAGGTCACTGCTGGGGTCCTGCCCATGTATCTCTGTCTGTCTGTCCTTCCTTTCTTCCTTTCCAATGAACAGCCATCACTGCACTAACTCGAGTGTGTCTGTGTTGCTTGCATCTTGGAAGAGCTTCTTTAACATTGGAAATACGAAGAACTGTATTGATGTGCTGGAGCCCAGGTGGTTAGGATGTCTGGTTCCTCCAGCACTCTGTGTGTCAAACACATGGGAAAAGCAGCTGGCCGGGGATGGCCTAGCCTCTGAAGGGCTGGGTCTCAGTGCCCGTTGGGTCAGTGCAAACCATGAAATGTGGTTATGGGCACTGCCCTGCTCGTGGAGAGACAGGCTGTGGAGGCCACTTCAAGACTGGAGTGGAAGGAGGGAGCCGGTGTCCCGGCCATCAAAACGAGGAACGGCAGCACCCCAGGGCCTGATGTCTATCAGTAGTGAGGCCATAAATCTGTGTGTGTGTGTGTGTGTGTGTGTGTGTGTGTGTGTGTGTGTGTGTGAGAGAGATCTGGACATGAGTGTGGACATGCGTGCTTGTGCCAGGATGGTGTGTGTGAGGGCGGGCTGAATGGATGGGGTGTGTGCACAGTCTTGTACCTGGGAGAGCTGTGATGGGGTGTCTCGAGCGTGCGTACCTGAGGATGGGTGATGTGCACAGGTGTGAGTGTGGTCCTGTGTGCACAGGGCCACGTGTGCCCAAGCATGTGTGAGACTCTGTATGTGGCTGGTGGGTGAAGACACAAGCCTTTGCCTCCACGGACTCGGCTGGCCTAGTGCTGACGGGTGGGGTGGCCCACTGGTCACCTGGCTGACACGCCTGTAATGACAACCTCTATGGGGCTCACTGTCCCAGGAGCCAGACCATTCAGGACAGAAAAGGAGGAATGAAGAAGTCCCAAAGGTTTCTGAGTATTTTCATTTCAAAGGACACACAGTGACCTTTGCCTCTGTTGCTGGGGCTTGCTGCTGCTTCTTTGTCCCTTCCCCCAGGGGCCAGTTTCACTTTTGTTCCAGTTGTTTTTACTTTCAAATTCCCTTGATTAAACACCGAGAAAGGTGAGGCAGTGGTGGGGTGATGTGCAGCGTCCTCTCAGGTGCCTTCGTGAAGGCCTCGGCCAAGAGCCACCCTGTATGGAGACAGCAGGCTCAGGAGCCGCCTTGGGTGGATATCTGGCTGTCATGAGCCAGTCCGGCCGACCCCGTGAGGGAGGCTGTGACTTCCCAGGGCACACAGAACTGTGGCTCTCGGGGCCTCTGCACTGGTGCTGAGAAAACAGCGCCCGAGAGGAGGCGTTTGTCCAAAGTAACACTGAGACTGGCGCCAGAGCTGGGACCAGATCCAGCTGCCAGGCCCAGTGTTGGTGGAGGACATCTGGCTGATTGGCCAACAGCAGGTAAAGGTGGGAGCTGACAGTCTGTGCCAGAAAGCATGGCTCCCAACACTTTTGTCTACCCATGTGACATTTGGGACATACTTATTACTGAAAAATATTTGTGGTTTATTGGAAATTCACATGAAACGGGGTGGGCATCCAGTATTTTTTCTGGCAACCCTAACCTGGAGCCTACATCCCCTGGTGTGTGCTGTCCGGTGTCAGAGGCTCTGCAAGTAACTTGTCACTAGTAGTAAAGAATTTAGGCTTGTCAATGATGGAATAATGCCTCTTTCTTGGATTCTAGAAAGCCCATACAGTCTCTGGCCAATCTTATCGATGCCCAGACCCTCAGTGTCCTGGAGGTCACGTCAGTGCATTAGCTTATGTGGCAGTTACCAGCTGCATAGTGCTCCAGGCTTTATACTTTCAGTTTCTTTTGCTTTTCTTTCTCTTCTTTGCTTATTGTTATGGACTGAATGTGTGTGTCCACCCCAAATTCATATGTTGAAACGTACTCCCAAGCGGATGGTATTTGGAAGTGGTCATGAGGGTGGAGCCCTCATGAATGGTATTAGTGCCCTTCTACGGGACCCCAGACAGCTCTCTCACCCCTTCTACCAATGAGGCCATGGCAAGAAGGCAGCTGTCTATGAACCAGGAAGCAGGTTTTTACCAGATGCCAAATCAGCTGGTGCCTTGGTCTTGGATTTTCAGCCTCCAGAACAGTGAGAAATAAATTTCTGTTGTTTATATGCCACCCAGGCTGTGGTATTTTGTTATAGCATCCCAAATGGACCAAGACATTCATGAATACATCCTTAGCAAGGAAGAAGCAAGCCTGATGAAGGCAATTTGGCAGGAGCACCCACCTTGACATTGAACACAGATGAGGATGATGCTGTGAACATCTTTGTGAGTGATTCCCACATAAGAGCAGAGCTGGGCTTCAGTGTGACAATATCCAGGTTAATGACACCATCACACAGGTCTGTAAAGTAAATAATAAATAAGGTTTCTTCATTCTCAGTCTTCAATAGCACTTTGAAGCCTTATTTATAACTTGTGGATTGGAGATATGCAAACAAAATCAATGTTTATTGCAAAATATTCCATATTTGAAAACTTAGATTAATCCTGTTCATTTATCCTGTAAAGGGTCACATTTTAAGCTGATTTGTTTACTCATCTGCTTGTGAAATGCTTTGGGACAACTGTTCCAAATATGATGTCTGTGGCACGCTCTGCTCCGTTTTCCTGCACAGTGTTTTGGGGATGTGTCAACACCTCGGTCTGCCCTGGGAGGGGGTCATAGATTGAATTTCTGCCTGCTCCCCAACTTGGAGCATGTCTGCAGCCACATTTCCCTTGACACTAGCCTTGGCTGAAATCAATGGCAGGCTGGCTCACAAACCTGCTAGAACCTCATGTGTCTTCTTGTCGTGGTTTCCCTAAAGATGCCAGGTCACGAGCTGGGTCAGGTGTTGCCAACGCTAGTGAGAAGAGGGGAGCTGCACTGCCTTTTATTCGTGCAGGCAATGGGCCAAAACAGGAGGGCCACGGGCAGATCCGAGCCTTGGTAGACTGGACAGAAAGACTTCCTGCTGGCTCTGCCCTCAGGAACTCTGCTCCAAGAAGTCACTTTGGCATTTTAGCCCAGAAAGGGAAACCTGGGGCTGTGACTTGGGGCCACGTGGCCCAGATGGGCAGCACTGTCCAACCCCATCTAGCATGAGCTGTGCCCTGCCTGGCTGGACGGGGGGACAACAGTCATCTACTAGAGCAACACATGGGGATCCTTCATGGACAGGGACCTGGGACAACATTGCCCAAAGAAAGGAGGGGTAGTTGGCATAATTTTAAGTACACAAACAGTAGCATTTTTCTAAATGGTTATGAATTTTTTTCAAATTTATTCAAAACTAGAAAAATGAGACACCAGACGCCACAATAATCATTTATTATGTGACCGAGCCTGCAACCGAGGTACATGCCCTTGGCTGGAATTGAACACAGGACCCTTCAGTCTTCAGGCTGATGCTCTAACCACTGAGCCAAACCTGCTAGGGCTATTTAGTTATTTTAAGTAAGATGGCTTCATCTGCCCAGATAGCCCGCGACTTCCTTAAGGGAAGGGCCTGTGCTACATTGGTGTGGATCTGGCCTGAGAGCCTGGTCAACAAGGTGAACCAGACATGAAAAGAGCTGCGAGTGGATCTTTCGAACTCTTGGCTCCACAAGGCAGGTTTGTTTTACATATTGGTGACTAAATCAATTCTTTTTTTTTAAAAAATCTTTCATCTGCCTTTTATGGACCCCTGGCCCCCACCCATTGCCCCTTTTTGTTCTCTAGTCTTCCTTTGAGGCCCCAGATCTCCTAGGAACTGAGGGCACCACTTGATGGGACATCTACAAGGGGAATGACCCCCGTCACAGGAATCAGATGCCTGTGAGCCTTAAGTCTCCAGAGAAGGGGGGGCAGCCCTTACATCCAGGTGACCAGCCATCAGAGGGTGGAGTGGAGCCGATGGAAGGGAGCGCTGGGTCGCCTGAGTGGGCAGGGAGCCCGTGTCCACGGCCTGGGAAGTTCATTTGTGAGTCGCTGAGTGAGCACTCCATTGTTCCCGAGCCGCCAGCTGCAGGCTGGAAGACGATTTGTTGTTTTGCCCCATCTGAGAACTTTAAAAGGGGAAGGATTAAAAGAAACAGGAAAAACTCAGTTTAGATAAGAGTAGCCAGGAACACATTAGGTCTTCTGGAATGCACAGATTATCCTGGAATAAATGCATTCATTTATTCAACAAATATTTGTCGAGCATCTTTTTTTTTTTTTAACCCTCACCCAAGGATATGTTTTTACTGGTTTTAGAGATAGAGGAAGGGAGAGAAAGAGAGAGAAACATTGATGTGAGAGAGAAACATCGATCGGTTGCCTCCCATACACACCCTGACCAGGATCGAACCCACTACCTAGGTGTGTGCCCCGATGGGAAGCAAACCTCAACCTTTCGGTGTCCAGGACGATGCTCCAATCAATGGAGCCACCAGTCAGGGCGCTGAGCATCTTTTGAGTGCCAAGCAATGATTCATTACTGCTCCCTGGGCTTTATGAAAGTGTGGCTATTTTGAATGGTTGAATCAGACCTGGGTCTGGCTAAGGAAGTGAGTACCGTTTTATTACAGTATTTACCAAAGAAAATATCAAGTATTTTTAGACTCCGTCCAAAGAAATTCAACCCCTGCCCCGGCAGCCTCATGTGTTCATGAACACACACGCATCAGATCTCCGAGAATGAGCCCCTTCTTCCTGTGCAGATACCATCAGCCCTCGCAGGCTGTGGGAAACAGGGCAGACGTTTGGCAGGGAGCTCGTTTATTTAGTCCCTCAAGCAGGCAGAGGGCAGAGAGGCAGGAGCCGGGAGGCTCTGAGGCTCTGCCCCTGGGGACCGGTGCTGGCCTCACCATTCAGGTTGTCCTCACGTTACTACATCAGCAAATGTGTTCGCTCCGTTTCCTCTCCAGGGCTGGTTTCTGCCCCATGTGGATACTCTGACTCTCAGCCCCAAATGTGGGTGTTGGGGATGGAGCTCAGGGGTGCTAGAGGAAACTGAGAAAGTATTCCCAATGTGATTGGTAACATTTTTAGGCCTTTGCAGAAGAATGGCTATGTCCTTTTAAAACACCCATGGATAGGGCATAGAGAAAATGCAACAGTCAGAAAGGAACGCCTTGAGTCTAACCTGGGAGCAGGCGGAGCACCCTCTGATGGCATCGCTGCCAGCCACCTGCGCCTCGCACACCGTAATGATCATTAATACCTATTTACTGCTCTCTGGCCATAGAAACAATGACCAAGAGTGAGTTGGAAAATGAGCCAAGAGTGAGTCCAGGCACAGGAACAAGACAATGTCAAGGGATGTGCCATTGTCACTGAGCCACAGTAGAGATCTAAAACCAGCCCTGCAGCTCAGGTGAGAGTGTTCATGTTTGTAGGAGCCTGCTGAGCACTTGCCTCTAAAACAGTGCTCCTCAAGGTGTGGCCACCAGGCCAGCAGCAGCCTCACCTGGGAGTTTACTGGAAACACAAAGTCTCAGCCCCAGGCCAGACCGAGTGCCTGAGATGCTCCAGGGCAGGGCCCCAGGGATCTGTTTCCAATGACACCCATATGTGAAAACCACCCCTCTACAAGGACACCTCCCATAACCCTCTCCCCACCCCCCATCACCTTCCCCACCACAGCCTGCACCAGGACTGTATTGTCACATGTACACTACACGTGAGAACAGAAGATCCCAAAGTTCAGCCAGTGACCCGAAGCGCTGGACTCCCAGGGCACTGATGCTGCCCATTGGCCTCTCTCTTTACCAACGTTCACTAAAGCTCCTCGGTGGTGAGAAAAGCCAAGCGGCAGAGGTGACTGGACCCTCAGATGTGCTCCCACAGAGACCACGTGGGCCAGCCTTTCATATGACCCGGGACAGTCTCTCAGGGACGGATGGAGGAAGGAGGGCTTCGCAAGGTATGCCAAGGCCAGGGAAGAGACAGGTGCCTGCTTGTAGTGAGATCAGTGAAGCTAGCTACGCAGCTAAATCTCCCATAATTGGCACATGAGCTACATAGGATTCGAGGTGTTCAGACACACCAAAGGGGGGGAGAAGCAGCTGGAGGAGAGGAGGCTCTGACGGCTTCCACCCTCTTCCACCAGCAGCGTCTAAATGCCCCCTCCCCTCCACTGGAGCAAAGCTTTTGCACAAAGAAAGAATGGCCAAGACTCGCACCCCACACAGTCTGTGGAAGTTTGCAAGGGCATGAAAACGTGGGCCTTGCTGACTCGGGGGGGAATGGGAACTTGAAACGGACAGAAGAAGTTTTAAAAAGACAGAAGTGGAGAGGAGTGATTGAGGGTAGCGTGAGGTACAGAGCGGGGGCCATGTGGTCACGTCATGCTCATGGCGGGGACATCACATCTGCGCAGTGAGGCTTTCCACTCCTGACACCGGAGCCTGGCTCCAGAGAATGAGTCACCTTAGTCTGGGATGCACAGTGCCAGGATCGTTACCGCCGCTGTTTCCCACTATTGTGGCTGCTTGGCTGTGAGGAGTGGGGGAAACGTCTGGCAAGACTGAGCTTTCTGCCTTGGAGTTGCTGGTGGGAAACAGGAGGGGAAGGATGCGGCTCAGGGAGGAAGAGGGAAGCACTCGGCTCAGTTCCAGGCATCTGTGGGCTGGCAGGTGAGGCCAGGAGGCCCAAGTCACAGAAAGTTGGCGTGAGCCCCTGGCGGCAGCAGGTGGGCACGAAGGTTGCTGAGTGGGATGGGGAGGATCACAGCACAGGAGCATTGGTGTCGCATTGGTGTCGGAGGGGCGTGTGGAGCACGCTGGTGCTGTGCGGGTTCTCACCTGAACGTGCATCAGAGACAGCACGGTGCCCAGAAGCAGCAGAGTGTGGGCAGGAGGGGCCGGAGGGTGGTGTGGAGACTGAGGGGGAGAGGGAGAGAGAGGGAG